TGGTACATTAGAGGTGTGCTCAAGCCTTTAAATTATACCCTACTATGGGTTACCATATTCAGGAAAGGTGAGAATATAAGAAAGAATACCAGAAAATGCCCAACTGAAATGATTCACCTCTCCCCAATAAATTATGAAGTTTACCTGCGGGTAGGTAATGTTTATTGGAGTTCATATCAAGACTACACAGGTAGTTATCTAAATTGAGTCTAAATTTATTGCTGCACATGAACAGCACAAACACACTGAGACACAAATGATTACTTTCAGTCCCAAACAATAGAACAAGACCTTAATTTCACTGATAGTTTTGATGAATTGACAAGAAAATGTTACCAGCTTTATAATAATTCTAAATATACATCACACATTATATGCATGTATGCCACACTTATGATAGGCTTTCGAGCTGCAGTACTGGAATTCAATAGCATAATTTATGAGAATAGCTCACAATATACCTGTAACATCAAATATAAATTTGGAGATTCACATTGCATTTTTACTTCATTTTTATATTTGCAGAAGAAAAGCATGAAATCAAATTTGCATGTCAGATCGGCAAGACCTTAATAAATTTTACTATATATTAACGTTCTGTTCTTAATTTATCAACACGAAGCTGACATTCCTTATCATCACATACAGTATGTACGCTGATGAAAACTCAGAACATAAACTCTTGGATGTTTGGATCATTTGCATGCAAACATAGGAATTCAAAGCAGATGTAGGCAATTCACCCCTTAAGCCTGTTCCAGCACTCAAAAGGATCACAGCTGATCTGTTTGTGATTTAAATTTCACATTCCCATCTAATCCCAATAACTTTAGATTCTTGCCAGTCAAGGGATTCAATTTATCTCAACCCTAAAAATATTCAATAACCTCGTCTCCACTGGCTTCTGAGGCAGAATGCTCCAAAATCTCTCAACCTTCTGAGAGAAAAAAATTCTCATCACTAATCTAAAAGGACGATCCTTAAGTAGCTCCTCCTAGTTCTGAGCTCACACGAGGAAACATCCATCCAGATCCACATTGTCAAGACAACTCAGGATCTTAGATACTTCAACCAAGTAAGCCCCACTTTTCTAAATTCCTAAAAACAATTTCTAAACGTTCCTTATAAGTTAACCCACATATTTCAGATGTCAAGTAAATCTCCACTGAACTGCTTCCAGCACATTTTCATCCTTCCTTAGGAAAGGAGACTACAACTTCACTCAGTATGTGAGATGTGATCTCTTGAATGCCATATATGACTGAAACTTAAGATATTACTGTTATGTTCAATTCCTCTTAAAGAATGGCTTAACATATGAGGAACGTTTCAGGACTCTGGGACTATACTCATTGGAGTTTAGAAGGATGAGGGGGGATCTAATTGAAACTTACAGAATACTAAATAGCCTGGACAGAGTGGATGTTGGGAAGATGCTTCCATTGGTAGGATAGACTAGGACCTGAGGGCACAGCCTTAGAGTAAAGGGAAGACCTTTTAGAATGGAGATAAGGAGAAACTTCTTCAGCCAGACGGTGGTGAATCTATGGAATTCACTGCCACAGAAGGCTGTGGAAGCCAGGTCATTGAGTACATTTAACACTGAGATAGACAGGTTCTTGATCATCAAGGGGATCAAGGATTACAGGGAGAAAGCCAGAGAATTGGGTAGAAGAACTTATCAGCCATGATTGAATGGTGGAGCAAATTCGATGGGCCAAATGGCCTAATTTCTGCTTCTATGTCTTATGGTCTTATATTAGCCCTTAATTACATGCTGCAATTGCATCCCAACTTATTGCGACTCAACTTAATCCCTTCCTATTTCAGAATTTTGGACCTGTACTTCAAGTAATACTCTACTTTTGTTTTATTCTTCCCACCTAAAATGAATAACATCACATTTTGTTCTGCATGATATTCCTTATGTCCGGTTTTGGTGTACTCACTCAACCTATCTATATCTATCTTCATGCTCCTTTGCAGAACATACTTCCTTGTTTTTTTTGGTGTCATCTGCAAATTTAGCTAACATATGTCTTCGATCCACTCATTTAAATTATTGATATAAATTACAACAAGCTGGCGTCTCAGCACAGACCCCTCCACTGCTGGACCTCACTTATCGTATCCTATCAATCAGAAAAGGACCTATTTATGCATACTCTGTATTTACTGCCAGCCAGTCAAACTTCTAACCACACTTATTGGTCATTCCCTACACCATGAACTTTGTGCAATAACCTTTCATACAGCAGCTTGTCAAATACCTTCTGGAAATCCAAGTATAGTACTTCTAAGGGCTTACACTTTTTCCACAGCGTCTGATAGTAATTCAAAGAACTTCAATAAATTAGTCAAACCTGACTTCCCTTTTACAAAACTCACTGAATCTTGCTGATTACTTTTGAGTTTTTCCTAGTAGTTATTGATAACCTCTTCACTGACATTCCAACAACTTCCCCACAACAAAGGTCAATCTAACAGACATGTCGTTACCCGTTCTGTGGCTCTCTTCGTTCCTCAACAGAGGAGTTATTTTTGACAGTTTTCAGTTTAATGGAACACTTCCAGAGTCTATTGAATATTGGTAAATTTATGCCAATGCATCAACCTGCTCATTAGCCACCTCTTAAGACCTAGGATAAAGCTTATCAAGATGTGTGGACTTGTCAGCCCACAAATCCATCAGCTGCCTGGTGTTTGTAATTTCTAATTTCGTCAAGTTCCTCCCCACTACCATCTCCTGACTTACAGCTCTTATCATATTGTTTCTTTTAAATATCACCAACAGCGAAAACAGAAGCAAGATAATTCATCATTATACCTGTCAGTTCCTTATTATCCACTACTGACTCCCTTCTTTTCACTCACTGGAGGACCAAAACACACGACTTATTCTCTCCCTTTTTAAATACCTGTACAAATTTTGCTATCTGTTTTTACATTTCTGGATACCTTCCTCTCATACTCCAAGTTTCTTTCTCCTGATTAACCTTTTAGTTATTCACTGTTATTCTTTATACTCTTCCCAATCAACTGAACTCCAACTCATCTTTGCATTAAGATGCTTTTTCCTTAAGTTTGATGCTTTCCGTAGCTACAGATGATTGACTTTTCTTTATAGCAGGAATATACTTATTCAGAGTATTCTGAAATATCTGCTTAAATGCATGCCACTCTATTAATCCATCTCCTACCCTCATATGCCTGTTCACATCTGAGCTAGCTCAGTGCTCTTGTTCACATAGTTGCTCTCATTTAAGTTTAAAGTACTAGATTTAGACCCACTATTCCTTCACTGCGTTTCAAATCAAAAGTAAAATTCAACCATATTGTGAAAGGTGCCACTTAGAGGGTCTTTCGCTGAGATTATTAATTAATTCTGTCACATTACACAGTATCATGTTCAGTAAAACTTGCTTTCATGTTGGTTCCAGAACGTGTTGCTGTCAGAAATCATCTCTGAAGCATTTATGAACTCTTCACCAAGGCTACCATTGTCAATTTCATTTTTCCAGTTTATATGTCAATTAAAGTAATCCATAATTATTACTGTCTCTTTATCACAAGCACCCAATATTTACTTTGTACACTTGTCCCTACACTGTAATGATCATTAGGGAGCCTGCAGGTTATTTGTACTAGGGACTTCTTGCCCCAACTATTCCACATCTCCTCCAAACCCATTCTGATCTCTTGAACTGAGGTAACTTCTAATGATTACACTGATGCCATCTTTGATTTAACAGCACCATCTCTCCACATTTACCTAACATTCTATTCGTCTTGAAGAAGAATATACCCCTCAATATTCAGGGCCGAATCCTTGACACCCAGCAGCCACGACTCTAATTATTTACAACAATGTATTCTATCATTTTGCGTCCTTCATTATGAAGGCTGTGCACATGCAAATACAATACTTTTAGTTTTGTCATCTTTGTAACATCTAGTCTTGATTGTTACTGTATTCGTAGGTTTATTTCCTCTGTACCTTCCTGTCATTTTTTCACCTTCATTTTCTATATTATTATGTTGCTCGCAGCTATCAAAGATTGATTCTTCACCCCCATTACTTGGTATACAGCCTTTTCAATTTCCCGAGTTATGTGGTTTTTAAAACTATCAGAGGCCCAGCCTGGTTCAGGTGTAGACAGTCTCAGCGGTACAGGTCCCACTTTTCCCATTAGTGATGCTAGTGCCACATGATCTGGAAAAAATTTCTCCCACACCAGTCTATGAGCAACATATTCATTTCACTCATCTTATTTACCTTCCATCAATAGCATGCGATTTAGGTAAATAATCCAGAGATTATTACCCTCTTCAATTTGGTACCTAGCTCCTCATACCATCTAAGCAGAACCTCTGTTCTTGGGGTCAATATGGATCATGCCAACTGGGTCCACCCCATTCCACTAAAACTTCTTGTGCATCCCTGAGCAGATATACTGAATACTGGTACCAGTAGGCAATATAGCCTTCTGGAGTCAGAGCCCAGTTGCACCCTCTGGACAGCAAATCAGGATCTTGCATTGGGGAGCAGTGGTGGAAGATAGGCAGAACTGCTCAGAGCTGATGAAATAGCTGCCAAGCTCAGACCCTTCTGAGTACTGTCCCTTAATTAAAGTTAGAAGGCCTAACTAAGCTCAACTCCCTCTACTTAGAAAGTTTGAATAAGGATTCAAGCTTGCAAGCTGGTTGACAGAAGGTCGCAAAATCTAATTAACCTCAGCATTAGAAAGCAAGATGCTTACTCTCCAAGGGAAAACATTCTCTGCAAAATTCCAAACTTTATTATGAAATTGCCAAGGGAAAAATAATATTCCTATTGGTGGCTGGTGTAAGACTACAACTTAAAGATTCTTAAAATAATATACATACAGATATTGATACCAAATGTGTCAACTGTAGTAATGAAAAGAATATTTCCTTTGCAGAGAACTGGGCAACTTCTAAGAAATCTGGTTTTCAAGAGATTGCAATGTTTTACTTACTTGCTGATTATCTTGGCTCGTTTTGCACCGGAGAAATTCTCCAACTGAAGTGATTCTTGAGTGAGAAAAGCAACAGCCAGATGGAAGTAGTTGTTCCATAACTGTGAATTAGACAGTAAAAGAAATAAGCTAAAAACATAGAGCCTTCAGTTAAACCAGACATGGAATGATTACAATTCTTGAATGCTGTCAAACAATCTTCTAAATACTGAAAATGACCTTTTATAAATAAAGAATCTCATTTAGAAGTAAATTATTGCTGAAAATTAAAAAAAAAACACAAACTATCCTAAAAATCTGTTTCAAGTCTCTTTCATTTGTTTACTGTGCTCAGTTTGATGTTCAATTAAATATTCAAATTTAGATTTCCTGTGTCAAACAAGCTTTGCACACCTGAGTAAAGATTCTTCAAGATGATTGTCTACCAGTTGACAAAGGCCTCAGCTTCACTGTACAGGGTGTCACACTGAAATAGGTTATGAACTGGTACATGTTCCAGCACAAAAGAACCATATCAAAATCTGAGCAACTGAAGTGCCTTCAAAAATGAAAATGACTGCGAAATCCAGCCAAATATTTTAGCATTCTTGTAACACAAGAACATTTAAGTGTAAGAAATACAAGCACGAGAAGGCCATCTGACGATGGGTCACTGGACTCAAAACATTAATTCCTTTTCTCTGTACAGATGCTGCCAGACCTATTGTTTCTCTTGCACTCTCTTTTTGTTTGAAACTGATGACACAGTTTTGCTGTGTATTCTGATTTAAAATTGGTAAGGGATGGTGATGTCTTTAAAAAGTGTTGGTGAAGGGACCTTCAGGCAGCTGAACATATGCTCAGTTGTGCATACGGAAGAAACAGAGCCTTAAGAACCAAAATGGCAGGGCAGGTCTGACACCACATTACAGCTGTTCTGCAAGTTTGGGACACTCATGCTAATGTCCTCACAAGCATTACATGCCCCTTTGGAAACGGTGAACAGCACCCATATGTAGGTCACCCCTTGTGTTTTACACGTTCACTGACATAGACCATGTGCATGATCGAGCAATGTTTTGTAGATATAATATTCAGATCCCAGAATACTTCTTAATTCCAAATACAGAATACTTATTAATTAAAAATAGCATGTGGTTCAATCGCGCTAAATGAGTGTTTCTGATGTGACGTGATGTCCTATTTTTGTAAAGCACTACATTTGTTAACTCATCATGCTATGAATTTGGTTTTCACAGAAAGTATTTGCAGAATAAAGTACTGTTCTGTGATACATAACAGCACAACCAGAACAAGCTTCCTACTTCTCATCGCAAATATGGTATTAGCTCTTCATGGTCATTCAAGCTTCACACTAAAATAGAAACTGCTATCACACTGTTATAATCTCAAGAAAGACCATTTACTTTTAAAAATGAATTTGAATTTTCACTTAACTAAAATACTGCACAAGAGTTCACATTTTAAACAAAGAAAAAAATTACTGTATAACAATTAAACAAATTATAAACCCATAGCATTCTTGCCCGAAAATCTGAATAAGGCACTCCCTCTTTTCATTTTGATTTCTAGCCAAGAATTGCCCTATACATTACAGGAACTTGAGGATTCCTTCACTTCTTCTGGGATCAAAACCAGGTATGTTTCTCCTCATGTTACTGCTGTTTCCTCTAATTCTAGTTGGCCAAACAACCATTGTTTCTGATAGATGTTGACCACTGGTCTCAGTACCCACTGTGCATAGTTTTTGCTCACTCTTTGAGCCTGTGCAAAAACATGAAGACTACACAAAAGACTATCTTCCTATAACCATCCCTATGGCAACATGGGCACACTGGAATGTCCCAGATAAAGATCCAAACCAATTATCCACAATTTTCAAATTTGTGCTTTGATCTGAAAAGCATGTAGATACTTTAAGAACTTCCTGTGTTTACCAGTTTACCTCACTTGCAGATCCTCCTATTCTTATTTACCATGCCCATACCATTACCTAATCTATGGGATGCAATTGTTTCTTAGATTAAATGCCCCCAAGGTAACTGTCCCCTACTTGGATACCTCAGAATATACATGGATTCCAGCTAAATAGCTCTGCCCAGAGTTTCTCGAGATGCGATTCTCTAACTCTTCTCAGCCTCTGTATGCTGAATAGAACGGTTAGATTGTGAAGGCTGAACAAATGAAAAATGTCTCAGACCTTACCATGTTTTCTTAAATAATTTCAATATGGAGTTGTTAAAGTATGAATTTAACTTAATCTACAGCTTCACATAATGTACACCTAAATCATATTCACGTAATCAGACACCAACCGAGCTTAGGAAGATCTACTGCTGAATGCTAATCTAATTCAGATGCAGTTAAAGAACCTTTCCAAGATGCAATTTGACAATTTTCTTATGAATCATCTAAAATAAGATGACTGGCAATCATATTACTAAGAAATACAAGATTGATGCACTACATTTTACTCATTCAAGACATGCTAATTCATTTGTAGATTTAACACACCATTATAGTGAAAATGTGGAATAAACCTGTTGGACAAAACCTGGTGTTGTGTGATTTCTGACATTATAGTGAAAAAAAATCTTTCCAGTAAGCAGGACCAGACACATTTATTCAAATGCCTAGCTTTGACCTTAACCTCTTGTGTAAGAATATTGGCAGATGTCAGAATTTGATTAATGACAATATGTTTTTGTAAGCACCAGTGCCTGCAGTACTGAAACAAAATCAGTGTGTTTACAATAGTATGAAATGCTTAGAACTTACGGTTTTATATTCTGAAGAAAGATATTATTTTATAATTTTTCAAAAGCAATGGAGAAGTGAACCAGCAAACAAAAGGAAAATACTGGATGGAAACTTTTCAAGTCATTTGTATTCATCGTCACACAATTTGCAGGGTCAAATTCTACACAGGTTTACCTATATTCCAAATGCAGTCATGTGCTATTAATTTAGAACCGGTATATTTCAAAATTGCCAGTAATCCTGGGTAGAGGTTGGATGTTATTTACATGCTTCATTAGGAAGCTGCTCCTTACTTTTCAGTGGTGTTTGGAAGAAGGGAAATAGTATCTTTACCCTAATACAGCTTTGAGAGTTGGCATACTCTGCAGAAAATACCATTAATTTACACAATTCAAATATGAAAAGAAATGCATCATGTGAACTGTAAAAATAAACTCATGAAATGTAATTTACCACTGGGGTAAAAACCTGCAACACTGAGTTCCAAACAATTCTGCATGACACAGATAGCAGTGGTTCAAGGAGGCGCCTCACCACCTCCTCAAGGGCAGTTAGGAATGGGCAACAGATGCTGGCCTTACCAGTGACATCCATTCTATTAGTGAATGAAAAAGAAAGAAATAACAGATAAAGACAGGAACAGTGGTACTTCCTTTGTTAAATCTCCAACTCAGTTAGCATAATTTGTATCAATAAAATGGAGTGGCATCAGTCTTGATTTCTTATAATGGCACGCTAGTAAAAGAAATGTTTGCATTCCGAAGGCTAAACTGACGTGGGTCTCAATTTTATCTTACCCAAAACTTACATGGTTTAAAACAAAGCCCATGGAGTCAACTTACAGACTTTTGTCAATAGTAGTGAAATCTATCTCCCCATGACCTCTCTTTGACTTTTCCACTTACTATTATCCAGTAGTCTTAGAAGAGCTTCAATTTCCTCTAATTAAACAAAAGTAATGGAAGCTGTCTTCTTCAGTTTTTGCCAAATCGCTGTACCTGGACCCCTTCCCTGGATACTATTGCAGGTTAAACCAGACTTTCCAAATTGAAATTTTTCATTAATTTTGTAGCTGTGTTACAAATCCAATATCATCTTAATCAAGACTACCTTGCTGACCACCATAAAATTGCAAGGATCTGCCTTTCTTCAGCCTATCTACTGCCACAGTCCTGACTGACATTTAAATTCCCATAAGTTTGACCATTACATTGCTCTACTGTTGGCCTCTGATCTTTCACTCTTTGAAAAAGTTCAGATTATCTAATACTCTCACAGTAGAACATGCCAAGACTGTTCACAGAAATTTTAGTCAGCAGCAGTTGACAAAGGACCACATTGAAGATCTTAGGTCAGGTGACCAAAATCTGGGACACAAGAGGGAAGCTTTAAGGATTATCTTGAATTAGGAAAATGAGGTAGGGGTTTCGGGATGATTCCAGAGGTTGTGGCCTTGGAAACTAAAAACCAGTGGTGCAGCGATTAAAATCAGGAATGTTCAGGAAGACAGAACAAGAGGAATTGAGACATCTGAGAGGCTGGCGGAAATTATGGATATAGTCGGGGGGGGGGGGGGGGGTGTTGCGAGGCTGAAGGAGGTTACAGAGATGGGGAGGGTTGTAAGGCTGGTGGGAATTACAAAGGTAGACAGGAATTTTGAAACCTGAGTTCAGAATCTCAAAATGTTGGTGGTACTTAATCTAGAATCTTGAAGGCCAGTGTGAACAGGGGAGGTGGGTAAATGCACAGGCCCCGTGATGACCTCAAGATTGCAAGAAGGTTGAATGTGGAAGGACAAGTGGGAGTGTGTTAGGGAAGTTAAATCTAGAAGTAACAAGTGAAATGGATAATAGTATCAGCGCTAGATGAGCTGAGACTAGACAGAAGTCTGGCAGGACATTGGTGAGGCCTCTTCTGGAATACTGTGTCCAGTTCTGGTCGCCCTGTTATAGGAAGGATATTGTTAAACTAGGGAGGGTTCAGAAGAGATTTACCAGAATGTTGCCAGGTATGGAAGGTTTAGGTTATAAAGAAAGGCTGGATAGGCTGGGACATTTTTCCACTGGAGTGTAGGAAGTTGAGAGGTGACCTGATAGACGTTTATAAAATTATGAGGCATATAGATAGGGTTAACGGTAGGTGTCTTTTCTCTAGGATGGGGGAGTTCAAGACTAGGGGGCATATTTTTAAGGTGACAGGAGAGAGATTTAAAAAAGACATGCAGGGCAAATGTTTTATAGAGGGTGATTTGTGTGTGGAATGAACTTCCTGAGGAAGTGGTGGATATGGGTACAATTACAACGTTTAAAAGACATTTGTACAAGTACATGAATAAGGTAGG